TGAAGGCAAATCATGAGTTGGTCCGCATGTTATTGTCGAGGCTTATCTAGGTTCCTGGCGTCTTCCCAACTGTGTGTGTTTTGTTGGCCTTTCAAGTCTGCAATTCCTTATCCTGCCCTGTCAAGTTAATTGCTGCAGCATGGTTTGTGTGGATTTTTATTTACAGTTTGTATGTACTTTATTTTTGGACTGAATTTCCTCCATTTAAAGACTGTTCTTGGGAGATTTTTTTCTCCATCCAAAGGTAACCTGGACATTGGGGGAAAAGTTGGAGGTCTTAAAGGGACTCTTCTTACTTATGTGACTGTGTTGCCTTTGTGCCATGCCCGGCTCATCACAATTGCATATTCATGAAATTGGATCTGCAAGAAGCTTATTATAGGGTAGGCATCAAACCGGGGGATGAATGGAAAACCACATTTAACTGTCCCCTCGGGAGCTACCAATTCCATGTAATGCTGTTTGGCTTGCAAGGAGCCCCCGCAGTATTCATGCAATTAATAAATCAAGTCTTGCATGACCATTTATATCGGGGGGGGGGGATTCTTGTATATCTGAACAATATTTTGATTTGCTCCACCAGTTTAAAGGAACGTATACAGTTGGTCCGCATGGTTTTGAAAAAATTATTGGATGCCAAACTATTTGTGAAATTATCAAAATGAGAATTTCATAAAACTTGGCTGGACTACCTGGGTTATCGTATTTCCGGTAGTTGTATAGAGATGGATCCACAAAAAGTGGCGGCAGTATTGGAATGGCAACTTCCACAGCCTTGGAAGCAGCTTCAGAGTTTTCTGGGCTTTGCCAATTTTTATCGGCAATTTATACCCTTGTTTGCAGCAGTGACATTGCCTTTAACCGAGTTGTTATGGATTAAATATTTCACTACAAAGCCACAACCTAGCCACACTTTAGCATGGACCCTGGAATGCCAATAAGCTTTCATACAATAAAAACCATTGTTCTTGAAAGAACCGGTATCATTACATCCCGATCCAACCAAACCATTTATAGTACAAGTGGATGCAAGTGATGTCGCCATTGGAGCAGTGCTCCTGCAAAAGAACACTCACAATGAGCTCTAGCCATGTGCATATACCTCTTGGAAATTGTCATGGACAGAAAGGAGCTGGGCCATCTGGGAGAAGGAGGCATTTGCCATTAGATGGGCCTTAATGACATGGTGGCATTTACTGGAGGGGTCACCAATGGCTTTCGAGGTCTGGACTGAGTATAAAAACCTCGAAGCGCTTCAAACTCCACAAAGGTTGTCACCGAAACAGCTGCGCTGGGCACAATATTTTAGCAGATTCAAATTCCATCTGAAATATGTACCAGCTGGAAAGAATTTTTTAGCCAATGCTCTGTCCAGACTACCTCAGTATGACTGCCCTATGGAGGAGATAGTGCAAGCATTGATGCCTCCAGCTGTTGGTTTGGCCAAGTTAACAAAGGAAAACATGAGTTTTGCTCCAACAGCTACATCCAGCAAAGCAACAATTCTAGTGGCTGCACATGAAAGCCAATATAGAAAAATATGTAAAAGGTTGCACTACTTGCATGACTGCAAAACCTAGGCCAGGGAAACCCATCGGCCTGCTGCAGTCAGTAGCTACTCCTGAAAAATCATGGCAGGAGATAGCTATGGATTTCATAGTCAATCTACCAGAGAGTAACGGACACACAGTAATCTGGACCATAGTCAACTTGTTCTCAAAGCAGCCCATTTCATCCCATGTGTAGGGTTACCATCAGCCCAACGTCTGGCTAGACTGTTTATCAACCATGTATACAGGCTTCATGGTATATTACCATGACACATTATATCTGACAGGGATGTACAATTCACCACAAGATTTTGGAGGGACTTTATTCAACTGATAGGATTGTCACAGGGATTGAGTACTGCATACAGCTGAGCACGAATGGAACCACAGAGAGCAAATGCCACAGTGGAACGTTACCTTAGATGCTACATCTCTTATCAACAGATGAACTGGGTGGGTCTCCTTCCATTCTCAGAAGTGGCGTACAACAAGGTTGTGCACCAAAGCACAGGATTCATTCCTCTCAGGGTGGTTTATGGGGTAGACCTGACACCTATACTGGAATGGCCCTAATACCCACAAGTACAGGGAACCGTCAAGGAGTGGGTGGATAATATTCAGAATACCTGGGAACCTTTGAAACAGGCTTTAGCAAGGGCTGCCAAAGTCCACAAAGAACAGGCAGATAAAAGGAGAATGGAGGGAAACCCGTTCGAGGAAGGGAATCAAGTATATCTCTCCACAAAATAACCCTTCCAGGGATAAATAAAGCCCACAAGAAGGCAGGGAGGAAAAAGATCATAAGAAGGCAGGGAAGAAAGGAATAATTATTGACATTCTATTAAAGGATAAGAACAAACCTTGCACTTAAGCCCACTCAACACTGAAAATTTTAAAACTCGACAATTTAAATGATCTGCCGGAACTTTAAATCCTTTGATTTAAAGTTTGACTAGACATTTTTGAACTGCTAGAATTTTAAATTTTAAATTAGATTTTTTCCACTAAATTTGAAATTTTAAATGAACTATAGAATATCAAATGTTTAAATTGGACATTTTTCCCTTTTAAAAATCTGTGTTAAAACCTTCTACATTTTCATTTTCAATTTTTTTAATCCAATATTGAAAAAAGATGATAGTAGAACATTTGAAGCAAGAAGGAACATAGCACATCTCTAGAGATTTATTAAAGATGTGGGTGAAGATGGGGGCCAGTTGGTCAGCACAAGCTTTTAAGCAAGAAGGAATTATCTTGATTGGACCTGGTGCTTTTCCTGGCTTTTGTCTGTGAAATAGACCTTGCACCTTATTCTCTGTAATCATCAGAGGTGGTGGGCCCAATGGGATGGGGTAAGTTGTGGGAGCTTGGCTGTTGGTGTGTCTGAGATGGGGATTGTGGAGATGGGTGGAATTAGTTTTCTCTCAAACCTAGAGTAAAACACATTCAGGTCATCTTCCAGTTGTTGATTTCTTTCAGCATGGGAAGGAGGTTTGCTGTAACCTTCTATTTTTAAGAGTTTTCCACATGTTTGCTGGTTTATTTGTTGAGAACTGATGCCTTAACTTTTCAGAATAGCTTCTTTTTGCTGCTCTGATCTCCCTTGTTTCTGGCCTGATTGTACAGCATTCTATCACCTTTCCTGTAGGCTTCCTCTTTGGTATGACATAGCTGCTTAAGTTTAGCTGTGAACCAAGGTTTATTGTTACTATATATTCTCAGGTTTCTGGTCAGCACACATAGGTCTTCACAAAAACTGACATATGATGTTACAGTATCTGTGAGTTCATCCAATTCTGCAGAGGTATCTTTGAACACATTCCAATCAGTGCAGTCAAGGCAAGCCTATAGCTTTAGCTTTGCCTCCTCAGTTCAAGTCTTCACTGATTTAATTGTTGGTTTCATGGTTTTAAGTCTTTGTCTGTAAGCAGGTACAAGGTGAATCATACAATGATCACAGTGTCCCACAGTTGCTCGTGGTAAAGACCGATAAGCATCTTTTAATGTTGTGTAGCAATGGTCTAAAGTATTCTTGCCTCTAGTGAGACAATTTACATGCTGAAAATTTTTTGGTAGCTCTTTCCTTAAGTTTGCTTGATTAAAATTGCCTAAAATATTTTGAAATGAATCTGAGTATTTAACTTCCCATAATCTGCTAGAGTTCGTAATGCATTGTTTACACAAGCTTGTGGAGAAACATGCACAGCAATTAGGAGAAATGAGGAGAACTCTTGTGGAGAATAGGATGGTTTGTAATTAATAATTAATGTCTTTAAGTCCACATCACAGAATTTCTTTAGTATAGTTATATCTCTGGACAAATGGCTGTTAATATATAAACATGAGCCTCCTCCCTTCTTTTTATCAGATGTTTCTGCAATTCTGTCTGTTCTATATATCTGAAATCCTGGGATATGCAGGCTACTATCATCAATTGACTCATTTAGCCAAGTTTCAGTGAAGCGCAGTGAGCTGCTGAGTTGTAAATATCAGAATTGCATCTATTTAAAAGAAGTATTTCATCCATCTTATTAGCAGGTGAACATAAATTAGTCAGAAAGAGTAGGGAGTAGGGTTTTTATCCCACTTAATCTATTCAAAATTCCTGCTTGCTTACCCCTTCTTCGCCTTTGGCATCTCCATTTGTTTTTGTTTATCCATTGTTCAGAGGAAGTTGCTTCTTCCTGTGTTAGAAACTCTTCTGCATTTGTAAAGATGGGGGGGAGGAGAAGTCACAGAAAGTGGCCAATCAAAGAAACATTGCTTGATGCTTAGTAGTTGGTTTCTTAAGTATGAAATCCATAGAGAATAACAGAGAATGATAAAAAACAGAAAAACTATCAGAGAGCATTTCACCAAGGCTGCCTTCAGCAGCGCCATCTTGGCATAGATTTCAGACCAGTTGCTCTAACATCTGTAGTTATGAAAACATTTGAAAGGCTAGTGCTGTCCCACCTGAAAACCATCATGGATCTGCTGCTAGACCCCCTGCAATTTGCCGAGCGAATAGATCGGCAGGTGATGCTATTAATATGGCTCTGCACATCCTACAACATCTTGAATCTCCAAAGACCTATGCAAGGGTACTCTTTGTAGACTTTAGTTCAGCATTCAATACTATCATTCCAGATATTCTTCTAAGTAAACTAAACCAACTAGCTGTACCTGACCACACTTGTAAATGGATCATAAGCTTCCTAACAGACAGGAAGCAGCAGGTGAAGCTAGGCAAAATCACATCAGATACCTGTACAATTAGCACAGGAGCCCCCCAGGGCTGTGTGCTCTCTCCTTTTCTCACTAGATACCAATGACTACATCTCAAAAGTTCCCTCTGTTAAAGTACTGAAGTTTGCAGATGATACAACAGTGATTGGTCTCATTCGAGACAATTATGAATCTGCATACAGACAGGAGGTTGAACAACTAGCCTTGTGGTGCAATCAGAACAGTCTTGAACTAAATATGCTCAAAACCATAGCACTTGTGGTAGATTTTAGGAGAAACCTTCCTATACTACCACCTCTTACAATACAAGACAACAGCATCAACAGTAGAGACCTTCAAGTTTCTAGATTCTATCATATCTCAAGACTTAAAAATGTCAAAAATGTCATCAAAGAAGCACAAAAAAAGAATGTTTTTTTCTGCACCAACTCAGAAAGCTCAAACTGCTCAAAGAGCTGCTGATTTTGTTCTACAGAGGAATTATTGTCATCTGCACCTCTATAACTGTCTGGTTTGGCTCTGCAACCAAATAAGACAGACACAGACTTCAGCAGATAATTAGAACTGTAGAAAAAACAATTGCTACCAACCTGCCTTCCATTGAGGACCTGTATACAGCACAAAGTCAAAAAGAAGATTGTGAAAATATCTACAGATCCCTCACATCCTGGACATAAATTGTTTCAACTTCTACCCTCAAAACGATGCTATAGGGCACTGCACACCAGAACAACTAGACACAGGGACAGTTTTTTTTTCCAAATGACATCACTCTGCTAAACAACTAATTCCTACAACACTGTCAAACTACTTAGTAAGACTGTATTACTATTATTCTTCTCATCCTTCCTATTAACTATCTCTTCCTAGTATGATTTGATTTCTTACTAGTAACAGTGTTGTATCTTACGATTCTTGATGAATGTATTTTATTTTTTCTTATGTACACTGAGAGCATATGCACCAAAGACAAATTCCTTGTGTGTCCAATCAAACGGCCAATAAAGAATTATATTCTATTCTATTCTAACTAGAAGAAAAAGTAAAGGGTCTAGGGGAAACTCTAACCACTCTGAAACTCAACCTACAAAATGAGAAATCCCAAATCATGCAAAAATAATATGCCCAAATAGAACATAATAATGATCAAGCAACTTCTAAAAGAATTGACCACTTAGAAGAAGAAGAAGACAGATGGAAACATGTCACTCATAGAAAAAAACATAAACCTAATACAAAACCCCTGTCCAATCCAAACCACTCCGATGCAGCCCCAGTGATGCTAAGCCATTGATTTCATGGACTCTCCCTAGAAGAAGAAAAATGCAAACATCTAGAAAAGAAGCACCATCAAATGTTGCTTTAAAAAGTAGCATCATCAAATGCTTCTGTGATAAATAGAAAAATACACAATACCTCCCTGGGGAAAAAAGGCGAGTGTTGGTGATAGATTTAATTCTCAAGGGAACAGAACCAGCCATTGGTAGACCAGACTGTCAGCCTCAAGATCTCTTCTAAACCTTTCCTATTGTTATGCTCACTATTCTCTTTCGGCTGTCATTAGTAACAGGGAGGGAGGGGGGAACTGGAGGGGAAGAAAGCTGGAGGTGTTACATTCCTGTGCTGTGGATGAAAAGGAGGAGGGGGAGTATAAATTCTTGTTTTTAACTTTCTATTTCCTTGCCTAGCTTTCCTTCCTTTTGCGCAGCTGCGAAGTTTTATCAAAATATGTCAAGGTCAACGGACAGAGGCCTCATCACCACCTGAAGATGCTCACATGATCATATTCAGAACTTTTAATTGGAAGAGTCTTTGGACTTTGGGGGGTGGGAACAATTCCATCCCTTTGTATATGTGATCTGCGCACCAAATTCTTTAGATTCAGAATCTTCCCTGTAGCTTCCACTTTGAAATTTAGTAAAAGAAAACCTTTGCTCTAACCATTGGAGTCTGAGTGTTTCTTTCTTGGATTTCGAATGGAGCACAGACTGACACAGACAGTCAATCCAGAGAGGTATGTTGTCTCCCTGAAACAAAAATCAAAGATGTGGCTGAGAACCTAACCGAAATAATAAAACCCACAGATTGCTACCCTCTTCTACTATTACATGTAGGGATGAATGACAAAAAAGGACTTGAAAACAACATTGAGTGATTATGAGCAGCTGGGCAAGAAAGTTAAGGAAATAGGTGCACAAGTAGCTATAGAAATGCATGGAACTGAAGAGGAAACCCTCCTAGAATGCATATGGGTCAATATAAAAGAAAAAAGAATAACATTGCCAAAGATGTATACTACAGGCCACCAACCAAGCAGAAAAAAATAGATGTACTTTTTTCTAATTAATTAACAAATATATGTAGGATACATACTACAATAGTAATGGGGAACTTCAATTACCCTGACATCAATTGGAAGACTAATTCTTCACCAAGTGAGAAATGAAATAGCCTCCTGATCAACCTAGCTCACAACTTTGTTGTTCAAAAGTTAGAGGAGGGAACTAGAGGGGCTTAATTGGATTTAATTCTTAGAAACAGAGAAGTGACAGAGGGAGTTGAAAGTGCAGGAACCTAGGTGAGAGTGACCATGCCATACTAGAATTCAACATAATGCAAATGCAAGCAATAGAACATAATAATATCAGTGTCTTAGATTTCAAAAAAGCTGATTTTAACAAACTCAAATATAATTTGGAAAAGATATTTTGGATTAAAATCCTAAAGGGAAAAAAAACTCAAGAAGCTTGGGTAACTCTGAAAAAATCATAAAAACACAATCCAGCACAATACCACTGAAAAAGGAAAACAAGAAATCCAAGAAGAAACCAGCATGGCTGAACAAGAAGATCTATCTGACAAATTGAAAGACAAAAAGGACAAGTATAAAAAATGGAAAGAAGGGTACCTAATTAACTAAGGCAGAATATCAGCAGATAGAATCTGCAAAGACAAAGTCAGGAAAGCAAAGGCTCGGAATGAACAAAGACTTGCAACAAGAATCAAAGATTTAAAAAAAAGAGCTTCTCCTAAAATATAAATAACAAGAAAAAAAATCAAGAGAACAGTCAGTCCACTAAAGAAAGAAGACAGCAAGGAAGTAACAGGCAGCTGAAATAAAGAAGAGCTGCTTAACTCATTCTTTGCATTAGTCTTAATGCAAAAAGAAATTATAGCCCAACCTACCAAAAACATAACTGTAAAAGATAGACTAGAAGTAAGGTGACCAACCGTCCTCCTTTAGGGAGGACAGTCCTCCTTTTGTAAGTTCTGTCCTCTCTCGAAAAGTGTCCTCCTACATGTCTTCCTTTTTGATATTTGAAGACTAATCTGTAAATCTCTGTATTTGATCGATTCCGATCCAATCCGTTGTGTGTGATGTGATGTATTTGTATTTGACATGACGATTCATCAAGGCTCTGTACAGCACGGTGAGACGCGATTATGAGACGTATGCTCTCCACACAGGAGAATTGTTTTGAGAGAATGTGTCGAATGCAAGAGTGCACCGTGCATGGAGCTTCCAGTTTGGGTTTCTTCAGCGACAGACCGAAATCCGCGATCGTGCGTGGTTTTGATCTGTGCTTACCACTGAGCACCCTGATCCTTTGGATTCGGGGCTAAAGCCACCCCGTAGAGGTGGCGAAAAGGGGGGAGATTGCTAGCCGAGTGGAGGGGAGCTGCATCTCTCCTCCTTGGCTGGTCTAAACTCCCTTTCCCAAAGGCAGAAATGGCCACCTCAAAGAACAACTCGACTGGATAAGATTGTGCAGGAGGAAGACAAAGAGGAAAGCAGGACAGACCGGGCTAAACAACAGAGAACATCTAAGCAAGATACCCTGAATCTAAAAGTACTTTAGAATTTAAGTTAAAGAATTTAAGTTGCAAGCATTTGCAGATGATCTGGTTTTCATTTTAGAAAACCCACTAGAAACAGCATCAAAATTGATAGAAAAGATAGAGACATATGGAAAGGTGGCTGGTTTGAAAATAAATAAAGATAAGACAAAGATCTTGACAAAGAATATGCTATCAAGACAAAAGGAAGAATTGGCAAATTCTTCAAACTTAAACAGCAGATAGCGCTAGATTTGGTGAAATGGGAAAATTTACAACTGTCATTAATAGGCAGAATATCAACAATCAAGATAAATATATTACCCAGAATTTTATATTTGTTTCAAATAATTCCAATTAGGCTTGGAAAAGAGTACTTTGAAGATTTAAGTAAAATTGTGTTGAAATATATATGGCAAGCTAAAAAAGCGAGAATAAAGTTAAAACTTTTGCAAGATGCTAGAATAAGAGGAGGATTTGGTTTGCCTAATTGGGAATTGTATTACCAAGCTACAAATTTGATGTGGGTTAAGGAATGGATAACATTAAGAAATACTAGATTGTTGACATTAGAAGGACATGATTTGTTGTTGGGGTGGCATGCTTTTTTATGGTATAAAGGAACTAAAACACAGGGGTACTTTAGAAGACATTATATACGGGAGTCTCTGTGGTTAAATTGGGAGAAGATTAAAAGACAATGTTATTTGAAAATTCCAGTCTGGCTATCGACTATTGAAGCATTGTCTTATCCTATAATATACAAAAAGGAACAAACAGTTAGATATGGTGAAATATTGCATAAAAAGGGTGAACTTAAATCGATGCAAAATTTAGAGGAACAAGGTATAAAGATGAATTGGTTTTCATATGCGCAAATACATTCAAGGTATGATAAAGACTCTAAAACAGAAGGTTTCTATGATAAATTGACTGACTTAGATAAGATTTTGACAGGTACTGATGAAAAGGTGATTAAAAAAATTGTATGGATATTTATTAGAAATTAAACTAGAAGAAGAACAAGTTAAAGAAACTATGATTGCTTGGGGGAAAAATTTGGGATATGGGATTGATCTAGAGAAATGGCAAAAATTGTGGTCTCAAAATTATAAAATGACAATGTCAACAGCATATAAAGAAAATTTGTATAAGATGTTTTACAGGTAGCACTTTCCCCCGACAAGAATAGTAAGAATGTTCAAGAATAAATCCGAAAAATGTTGGAAATGTCATCAGATACCTGGCTCATATGTGGTGGACTTGTGTGGATGCTAAAAAATACTGGACTAAAATCTACACGTGGTTGGAAAAAATGACAAAAAAGCATATAGATTTGAAACCAGAAATATTTTTATTGGGAATTTTACCTGAAATATATAGTGAAGACTTGAAATACCTGATTGTAAATGTATTAACAGCGGCTAGGATTGTATTTGCTAAAAACTGGAAAAATGAGAAAATACCATAACAGGAGGAAATTATTAAGAAAATATTGGAATGTGCTGAAATGAGTAGATTGACATTTGAAATTAGAGAACAAGATGATAAACAATTTTATAAAATTTGGGATCTATTCTATCAATGGTTAGACAATAAAATATAGTAATGAAATATGCAGACTTAGAAAATAATAAATATATAAAGATGTATTCTTTTCTTATTATATCTACAAAATGATTCTAGGATAGATCTGGGATGATAATCTGAATTGTCATAAAACAAATTAAGTAAAATATGATCATTTTGGAAAACATGAATGAATAAAAGTATAGTCAAATGATTGATTAATAATGATATTAATGTATTTAATATATTGATTGAAAATACGAGATTATATACAATGTAAGTATAATTGAAGACTATGAAATGGAAGCACAAAACAATTTGTAAACCAACCGGCACACTGTATGTACATATATGGAAGATGATTTGATGTTTTGATGTTTTGTTTGTTTATGTTTGTTTTAAAAACCAATAAAAATTTATAACAAAAAAGGGATGAAAAAAAGGGGGGAAGATTGAAAGTGAAAGAACTTATGAGCGACAAAAGTAGGAAATAAAGAAAAAGGGGAAACGTGCTAGGATTAAAGGTATTTGCTCAGCTAGAAAACACAGAGACAATGGCTAAATTAAGTTAAGAGTGAGGATTCTGCAAAGGTACAAAAGATAGTGTTGTGACAGTAGAATACTGTAATGAGTTAGAAATGAAATAAGTAAATAATCTATGAGAAAAAACTGTATTGTTATGTAATGGTATGTTTATTTATAATTAATGCAATAATAAAGAAGGGAGGGAAACATTGTTATTGTTTCTAGAGATTGATAAAATATTGAAAAGAAATGTGAAAGATTTATAATGGAATTTATACCAGTTACTAGAATGAATTTGAATGATTATTTTGCTTATTAATAGTAAATAATTTATAAGATAAAACTGTATGACTATCCAATGTTATGCTTATTAACAATTAATGTAATAATGAAGAAGGGAGGGAAACATTTCAATTGTTCTCAAAGATAGATAAATATTGAAAAGAAATGTGAAAGATTTACAAGGCTCATACCAGTACTAGAATGAATTTGAATAACTATTTTGTCTACTAATGTTGTATATACAGTATATATTGCTTTTGCTATGTTTTTAGAATTTTTCTTTTTACACTTTCAAGGGGAAGTACCAAGCAGAGTCTGAATGATGAGATTTACATGGTATAAAATAGATATTAGAAATTTGAATGTTATAATTATAGAATGCACAAATTTAATGTTTAATGAGAATTCATATGATAATAACAATAAGACTTAAAGGTGTTGCACTCCGATTGGCAATCATAGGGGGAATTTGCTTTTTAAGAATGTTGGAAGAGAACATATGAAATTGTAAACAAGACAGACGAAAGTATAAGTATAGTGAATAAAATATATAGAAATTTAGGTAAAAGAAATACAATTGAATAAGAAGAAAATGAGATAACAATAAAAGAAAATTAAGAGAAGGGAGAAATAGTGAGAAGTTGGAAAAAGAGTAATATGAAGTTGAATACATAAGATGAATATGCATATGAAAATGTGTTAAA